TGCCGGGGCTGGGGTCCTGCGCGTCCGCGGGCCCCACGCAGGTGTCTCAAGAGTCACCCTCAGGCTCCGGCTGGGGTCTGAGCCGCTCGCTTTCTCCCTGCGGCGCACCCGGAGCAGACGGTCCTGCCTGGAGACAGACAGAGCGACAGATAACAGGTAAGCAGGACGGAGACAGACAGAGGCAGAGGGAGACCGGCGGTGCAGAGATAAACATAGAGGCAGGTGACAATAGAGAGCGGACAGAAAACAGGTCAGCACGACAGAGACTGGGACAGAGGAGGCGGAGGGAGACCGACGGTGCAGACAGAGATAAACATAGAGGCAGGTGACAGGCATAGATACAAAGAAAGAGACAGACAGACGGAAACATCACGGGAAGGATCGCAGCAGAGCAGGGACGCCCAGGGCGCAGGTGGCAGCGTCCTGATCTTCCCCAGCGGCCTCAGAAGGCACAGTGGGCTCGGCTGCATGCTGTGGATCACCAGCAAGTCGCTACGGGGCCCACGTGTCAGAATAAGAATTGGGGTGCAAGGTATTGCTGAAAACTTTAAATACAATCCGCCACCAGGGGCAACCAGCGTTCCAGCCACCTACCCTCTCATCAGCTTCCCGAAGGGACAGCGCCGTGCCTTATGCTTCTTTCCTTCAATGTTTGACCTTGGAGCTCTCTCGCATGTTAACCCTTTGGCCCATACACACGCCTTCTAGCGACCTCAGGGCATGCCATTGCGTGGATCGACCGTTACTGCTAAAATTACTGTCATACTCATGGAATCATAGGTCATTCCAATTTATTTGCTGCTAGAAAACCATGTTGTGATGAGTGTCCTTTTAGGTGTGTTCCTGGGCTTTTGCAAGATTGTCCTTGGAGTAAATTCTTTGAAATGGAATCGGTGAGCCCAAGCATGTGCGCTTTTAAGCTGGCCTAGGTGGAGCCAAATTTCCTCTCCAAGGCCCTGCTGATTTACACCCTCACCAATAGTGAGTGAAAGTGCCTTATGCCCACATCCTGGTCTGTACTTGGTATCATACATCCTTAACACTTTTGCCAACCTGATAGGTGAAAAATAGTATCGGGTTATTTTTATTTCAATTTCTTTATATGTGAGTGAGGCTGAGCATTTTCCCCTGAGCTTATTGGCCTTTTAAACTTTGTGTTTGAGGGTGGGAGGAGGTGATTACCTGTTCTTATTAATATGAGTCTTTTGAATACTGAAAATTAGCTTTTTGTCATAAAAATTACATACTTGGGTCAATTTTGTCATTTGCTTAAGGTATTTATTGGCCATACATTTTAAAAAAAAATCCATAATTGAACAGATTAATCTTATATGTTTTAGTACTTGGGTTTTGTCTTACCCTTATCTTCTCATCAAAGTTGCAAATACATATGCTTACATTTTTTCTTGAACTCCAGTGACTTCATTTTTTTATGTTTGAGCCTTTGAAACATCTAGAATTTATTTGCTTCCTACTACTAATTCATTGATGAGGTGAGGCGAGGAACACTCCCAGTGGAGAATTTTCAAGCTGAAAAACGATTCTAAAGTTGTGGTTTTAGAATATGGCACAGATAGAGTTAATTCATATGTGATTTAGTTATTTTCACTCAAGCCATGGATCCAGTTTAATGCACTGTTTTTAAACTCCTGCTCTGAACTAGGATGTGTGCTGCTCTCTGCATCACTGAAGTTGGGAGAAGGCTTTTACATCCCATAAGGACATGTTCAACTTGTACAGTTTAGAATTCAGGAAGAGGGTGGGAAAATATAATTGTTCATATTAAAACCATCTAATTTTGGCAACCTTTTGATGGTTTTTTTGAACTGAGGTATATTTACTTGCTGCCATGAAATAATTGAACACAGTCATAAAGAAAAAATTACATAAATAAAATTAAATAGGAACGATTAATCTCTTGGAACACCCCACTGTATATTGAATTATGGAGTGAAAAGTATTGGCAGATGCTTGTCAGCTTTAAACTGTACTTTTCTTTATAGAGGTGCTAAACATGGAGTAGTCTTGAGAATGTTGAGCCTCACTAAGTCATAACTTAGACATTCAATTGGCACACATGAGGTTCCTACCCTTATATTTATTACTTTGACTACTTCCATTTATTACTTTGACTGCTTCCCCACAAACGGGAACAGTTCTTAAAGAGCATCACGTCCAGGTACGTGAAGCCAGAGTCTGTGATAGAAGTGCAACGAGAAACTCTAACCAGCCTTTGGCTTTCCTTAATTTTCGTAGAAAAAATCTATTTAGAAATTGAATATCTTTTGATTAGAAAATAATTATAATCAACTCATATAATCAGCTCTGATAGAGGGCTATTTCGAAGTGGGTGAAAGCAAACAAAAAGTAAATCGCGTTTCTCCTCCTGCCCAGGGATGTATATTTTTGTTTGGGGGAATATTTGCCGTGGGTCCGCTGTGGTCAGCTGAACAGCTGGACTGCAGAGTCCATGCAGGGGAAAGAAGGAGAGGAAACAGACAAACATGACTCATGAGGATGACGTCCCATTTTTAACACAGAAACGTTATTTTCATAAAGATTCTAAAGGCGTTCGAGTAACGCAGCTACCACGTTGCAGTCGCTTCTCCTTTGTCCCAGAGAAGTGCCCTGGGATACCCTCTAGCCCCCGCCAGCGGGAGACCGAGGTCCAGGGTTCCCAGTGCCTTGAGCAAGATCGCCGGGACGGTTCGGGGCCCTGTCCGTGGCGCGGTGGCTGTGCGGGGCGTGCCGCGCTCACTGGTCTCGGGTGGACGCCGCCTGGACGCTGAGCGCCCGCCTGACGGTGCCCCGGGCTGCAGAACAGGGAGGAGCCTGCGTGCTCACGATCCGCGTCAACCAGAAGCGCACTTGATGGGGCGCATGCGGCTTCGGCGGACACGTTCTGCCCTGCGGGGGGCTGGGGGCTGAGGGGCTGAGGTCCGCCGTGCAAGCCAGCGCCCCGGGCCTGTGTTACCGACTCTCCACCAAACGCGGGGGCGTCGGGGGCCAGGAGAGCGTCTCCGTGGGCGGCACGTGGCGCTGTCACGCATGGTTGCTGGGAGAGTTAAATTCCTCCGTGAAACCCCGCGGAGAGAAGACACGCGGAGACTCGTGTCTGGTTCCTCCTGGAGTCGGCCCCATGAGTCTTTGCCCTTTGCTATTTCAGTCGGTATCTTTTCGCTGCGATAAACCAGAAATGCGAGTTTAAGGGTTTTTCTGAGCGTGGTGATCTCTCTAGTGAATTATTGAGCCTTGGAGACTCCTGACACAGACCCAAATGCCATCCTTAAAATATTGAAGAAATTTAGTACCGTACAGTACTCACGACAAATGCGTAAATAAAGTGTTCTGAAAGGGCGCCTTCCTCCCCCGTTAAAGTTTCTGAGAATAAACTGGGTACGCGAGAAGCTGCGTGGACTCTTCCGAGCCACGGGCACCCTGTAGCTGAGCCACTCGCACACCGAGTGGCGTCCGAGTTGCGCAGCGTCAGGTACCCCCCCCCCCC